TCGAGACGTGCCGATTCCTGCCGGTCACTCCGATTGTGGGGCACCCAATTGTCGAGTTTTTTCACCTTCCCAATGCGTTCCAGACCATCTGCAACAGTGGATTTGCCAAGGCCTAGCTCTTCTGCTATCTCTCGAACTGTTTGGGATGGGTCAGCCTCCAAAATCCCCCTAAAATCCTCGTCAGATATTGCTTTAGGTCGACCGCTATGAGGTTCATCTTCAAGGCTGAAATCTCCAGAACGAAATTTGTTGAGCCATTGCCGCACAGTGCTTTCTCTAGCACTATTGGGCCCCCACACCTGGTTAATTTGTTGAGCTGTTTCGATTGCGGATTGCCCCAATTTATAGTCGAAGAAAAAAATCGTCCGAAGTGCTCTTTTCACATGCTTGAAAAAATCTTGAAAAAAGGGGTTTATCAAGCAATGGTGAAACGGCAATTATACCATCAGATAGCGCAAGAAATTCTCTACAGGATGTGCTACTGAGAAGCAAGGCAGAATGAGTTTTTAATCAGCAGTGAATGTACAAAAAATAGGTGCACAAAACGCTGAGAACTTTCCGGACAACCTAATAGCATGACTAGCAGTAAGACTTTCCTGAACACATTTCAAGTTTTTAGCAGCCGCATGGTGTCCGAAACTGCAATTAATTTTTTTTCAAAGTGAAAAGGTAGTTTACGGAGGTGTAAAGTTGGTTAAGCGAGATGACGTAATGGCAAGTAGCACGCTTACTTCACATGTGGTCGGATATCAAATCCCTGATTCTCCCGTTTGAGCCAACCAAGCATCCTACTCTTCAGGGACGGTAAGTTGTATCAGGCTCGTCTGGAGGGGGGGGGATACGAACACATATCGGCTATTACTCGCAATTCATTGTATAAGCCACAGCACATTCAACAACCCACTGCGGTTCCGAATGGAAGATGGATTCGTTCCGCATTCCGGAAGGGATTAATCAGCAGAGAAGACTTCATCTTTTATCCTCCCTATACTTCATACCCAAAATTCATACCCAAACTTCATACCCTAGGCAGTCCACCAGTGCTACTTCTATTACTAGTATACCTGGATCAAACCTGCTTGCGGATTGCCGCTTTCCGAAATTACGTTCAGATTTCTTGGATCAGGCGAGAAGATCAAATGGTGCAAAGCTTGCAACTTAAGTAGGAACTGTTGAAATCAACGAAGCTCTGCTATTTTCTGTATCATATTTTGAGCTTCAGTACTGTTATTGGCTTGGGAGCGTTCCTAGATGAGAAGTAATAGTAAGTAGCTTCGAAAAAGGGGTTGTTTCATGGGATAGAGATGTGAAAAATCGTTTGGTCGCCAGTATACTATTGAAAATTGCATCAGTTGATGCACCAATTCAAAATCTCAAGGGAAGATTGTTGTTCTCGATCGGAAGGGTTCATTTGTTGTTGTGAAACTACAGGGCATCTCGAGGGGTAATCTGTCGTTCTCACGTGTCGGTTCAAGCGATATTTTCATACAGCTGTTGATGTTGCGAGATAATGGTTCCGTGCAATCAATAATTGTTTGATTAGTCATAGAATTTGTTCACGTGCTATATTTACTTTTCTACCAACAACTCCTGTTTGCGTTGTTGGCGCTGACACTTTCTGAGCATGTTAGAGTATAGACAGTTTTCCAGGATGACGTGCCACTGAAATTCGACCGTATTCTTTGCGATGTAATCTGCAGCGGAGATGGTACTCTCAGGAAGAATCCAGAGATTTGGGGTAAATGGACCCCACAGGACGGTTTGGGGCTACATCGTATGCAACTATCCATAGCGAGACGGTCAGTTTTTGTTCACTGTTAACGCATTTTCTATAACAGGGCTGTTTTCAAGTTCTTGGATTCTTACTTGTGAATATAACTGGTAAAAAAAACGGGATTTAGGGGTGCTGCGATGTTGAAGGTCGGTGGTCGGTTAGTCTATTCTACATGTTCCATGAATCCCATAGAGGATGAAGCGGTTGTCGCTCAACTGTTACGAGAATCAGAAGGAACGTTACGACTATGTGATGCTCACCCTCTTTTACCAAAGCTTATTGGTCTTCGTGGAGTTTCCACGTGGAAGGTATGGAAGCCATTTGATTTTTGTCCAACGATTTCTCTAGACGGGTTTTGAGCGCCTATGGACCCTTGTCCTTATTTATTATTTATTTATGTGGTTTTACTGCTTGTTTTCACTTTCTCAGTGTAGACCAGAAGACCAGACGCTAATTTGGAACCTGGCTTACTAAGTGGCACTCATGTACATGTTAAGCTCCTTTCTGACGCGTCGAAGGACTACAATGTTCGGTAGTTGTACCCTCCTACACAATATGGCGGTCAAGACAATCGTGAATTACCATTCCGTCGCGCGCGGCGTTTTCTTGAGTTGTATTAGCCGTCGACTGGAAGCACCGAATTGCACATAGACCACCAAGTCATGGAACATTTTTAGTCATTCAATGGTGATAAATTGTCTTTTGTCGCCATCTGCGACCTAGAGATCGTCATCTGTGGATGCGATCCGCTAGCGACGTCCAATTGCGCGGCGAGTCACGATTGCCTTGCCACCTCCCTTGGAAGTGCGTGCCTATGACTGACAAATGTTTCTACATGTGTGACAGTTGTCGTTTGACTGGAACTCCTCCTTTTTGCAGGTTTTTGATCGAGACATGAACTCATACGATAAGCCTTCTGATGTACCCGAACAGCTGCGAAAGATGATATGTGAGTCGTGTTTCCCGCCTAGTGAAGAAGAAACCGCTTCCCTTCACCTAGATTACTGGTAAGTTTCATGGCCTGATTTGTTGGTAATCTAAGTGGGAACATTAATTTGTCTTGTTGTTAATTTGCCGTTTTCAGCATGCGCATTGTACCTCATCATCAAGATACGGGTGGTTTCTTCGTTGCACTTTTGGAAAAAGTCGAGGAGAAGCCTCTCGACAGTCCTGTGGTTGTGGGGTACAGCTGTGGTCTTCTACCCTAGTTGGTTCTGTTTGTTTGTGCAATTTCTGCAATTTCAGAGCACCTGCATACAAAAAGCAGAAAATGTTCAAGGATGAACCTTTCACCTTTTTGAAGAAAGACGACGAGCGGTGGCATGACATCAAGTACGTTTTTGGTTCCGGGCTTATTTAGCAGTAGTCAGGAGCGTGAAAAAAGAGCATAGGTTGTTTACCATCTTTAATAGTGTATGGGATGGTCACACGGTAAAAGTCTCAAATTGCGAACATTCACAGTGGAGCACTTTTGAACTTATTGTATTATGAGAAGCAGTACAACGCCTCAGATTGCGGTGCGAAACTTATCTTGGAACGCTGAGTTACAGGCGAAGGATGGTCTCGAGTGGATTCGAACCTGCGCATTAAAGCCTAGTAGCATGAAGTCTTTGAGCTGGGAAGTACGAAGTACGCAGTGCAAGTGGCGTTGTACAGCAGGGTTGTGCACTCGCACGGTAAGCATAATGTATGGGTTAGAGTCCCACCTATGAGGATCCCACCCGAGGTCAAGTCCTCTACTCACAACTCAACATTCTTGAGAAATCCGCTTTCTTGGCCGCTCACGAAGGGCTTCTTTGTCTTTTTTTCAAACTTTCAAAACTGTTTCTAAGGTAGCATTCATTAGCCAATAAATTACCGACTCGAAATGGGGAGTGTTGCCATTTTCGATGAATGTATGAGCTGCGATCTCATGTAAGTAACAGTTTCTGCAGCCGATTATTCCCTGGTCGTCGGGTGCGACTATCCCATCGCGGACTGTTCTCCTTCTGTAACATGGCGTCTCTGCCTCTTATTCCGTCTGCGTCCTCCGCCAGTCATCTGGCAACGTCCCCCGCGCCCCCCCCCCCCCCCTCCCCCCCCAGGTGGCGTTTAGGACATGCACGCGTAGACTGACGAAGTTCCAGAAATTGTATATGTTGCAGCATTTTCTGCAAATGCTTTTTTTAATTGCAAGTTATTACAGCATAGGTCGAGTAGTTCAAACTTTTTTTTTTCAAAGTAGATCCAAGAGGGGTGGACGGTGTATAGTGAATGTTACCACGCTCACGATAAAGGGTAACTATCGGCTTCCATATTAGGGCACACCAAGCCACTAACCCGGGGATGCTAAACTGAACAGGCTACATGGCAGTCAGTAAGCCAGCTTGATTGTGAAATGGAAGTAAAATGCGTGCCGCATCCCAAGAAGGACCTGATCAACTGCGAAGACTATACGTTTATTCTTTCAAAACCCAAGAAGACAGAAGTTTCAATTGGTGCTCTGTTACAGAAGTTCCACTATGGTGTTAGCGATGACTTCGGAATTACCGAAGAATCTATATCAGTCGGCCGACCTTGTCTGACACGATGCGGTGTGACACGTGAACTGCCGCCAGCTATTTTATGCGAACGCCGCAGTGAAGGATTTTGTGGTGGGGACTAGGGCTCTAGTTCCAGAAGAATCGATATTCAACTAGTTTGTGATTTCAGCAACGGAACATGACAGCTGTATCAATCCAGAACGCTGGTATGAAGATGTTCAGCCGTAATGAGCAGAAAGTGGAGACGACACGATTCCGATTGTCACAAGAGGGCATTCGGCATCTTCTGCCATACTTGCAGAAACAGTTTGTAAGTTCTCCTCAATGAGCCGTATTTTTGGCCTTGTCAGAGAGCTCTAGTTTCCCGAATATTGTTGCTTGAAGTTCGCGATGTGAACTGATTAAAATAACTCCAGTAATTTAGGTGCAAATTGATGAAGAAGATATGCTGAAAATTTTAAAAACTGAAGAAACGATGATACCACTGGAGTCCCTCAAGTGCAAGGACGCAGTCAGGGAGCAGGGCGCTGGAAGTCTAGTACTGTTCTCTGATAAAGCCAATCCTGTTTGCACCTGGGTGAGATTTCCATTTCCTTTCAACGCATGTTGTTGAGTAAATTGGGACCGATGTTTTTATTAATGGAAACCGGTCAAACCCGATCGGGCGCATTCGACGGGGGGGGGGGGAGGGGCAGGGAGGGTGAGGGAGGGAGCATTTTACACGTTTGCTTCTTGGCTAGATTACAAGTTCCACTCTGGTGAAGCCTGAACTCTTGTGAAGCTGGAGCAGGCTGGTCTAGTCACCATGGTAAATGGTATTTGTATGGTGTGTCATTGCATCACAAGGATTGACACACTGCACCCCGAGATCGTTCCGAAGAAACAGTTTTGAGACGCAGTCCCTATTTGCGGTATACTTCCTATGTGATTTGTCATAATGTATTGTTGAAAATAGCATTGTCGTTTTACGAGCTAACATGGTCATTGTTACCAAATGTGTAAGAGGTGGGCTCCCACTTTCCGTTCCCTCCCCCAATGCATGCCGTCCCACGAAATACTCATTGAAAGTGTCGTATTTGTCTTGCTGACTTAGAGAGCGGGCGTGTGTAAACAGGAAGTACATCTGGGAAGTAGTATAGATTTCGACCCTCCCTTCCACCCCGTCGACGGTTTCTTTTTAAAATCGCGGGTGGGATATGGTAATGGAGTTAAGTTGCAAAAGGTTGGGATTCTGTTGGGGTGATGGATGGGGGGAGAGGGTTATATGACAATACAATCGTAAAATATCGCGCGGGTGGGCGTGGCGAGCGACACCGCGCACGACAGGCGAGTTACCTTAAGTGATCGATTGGATGTGAGCGCCAAAGGGATGGGAAATTTGATATCACCCTGATGGAGTTTTGCCTTTGTTGCCTTTCCTTGAATTCGTATGAGCTTCGCTGCTTTGATCGACAACCTTATGCACATAGAGAATTTGCCTCTCATGGTTGCACGGTATGCCGCGAGCGGTAAGTTACGATTGTCTTGCCCGTCTCGCAAACAGGGGGCGAGAAGGGATGTACCTGAGACGACGGTGTAGAGAATTGTGCTGAAGGGATAATTATCCTTATCGTCATGCCGCTCCTGTCCCTCACTGCCTTCGATGCACCAACAGGGTCGAATATGTGAAAATATGGCATAGACAAGGCGGTTGTTCCCAAATTGCCTGATGAACCTGATTGTTCCCAATATCGTCTCTGTTTTACATTGAGACCACAATTTAAACTTTTTTTGTAGCGCTCTCCTGCTTGAGAGGGGCAGTGTGCACTTTCGTTAGTTCCCTTTGTTGGCCCATGTTCACTTGAAGGTCTCACTTTGGTA